ATCTAACCCTTGCCAATATCAATATATTTTTTGCTATTTTGTTCTGAACATATCTGATATGAAATTTCCAGGAGAATTTGTCATCAACTATGACACCTAGAAATTTAATTTCATGTACTCGTTTGATATTAGCTCCCCCAATTTGCAATTGAAGTTCATTGTCTGGTCTGCGATTCCCAAATACCATAAATTTAGTTTTATCCAAATTCAGAGATAGTATATTACTGTCACACCATTTCTTTATCTTCTCAAGTTCCTGTGTAACCCGTCCAGAGAGTTGCTGTAGGTTTTCACCCGATGCCCATATGGTAGTGTCATCAGCAAACAAAACCACTTTCACTAAATCAGAAACCTTGCACATATCGTTAATGTATAATATGAATAATTTAGGTCCCAAGACTGTTTTTTATGAGTGCCATGTAAGTTCATTTTATATTTTTGCCATTTTATCAATTATTATTTGATATTTAGCAAATGTATCTAGCCACAGGGGTTTTGCTTCAGTGACTTCTGTGCCAATACCGGATAAATAGAGAGGGCTGCTTTTAACAAACCAGGAAATATCTGTAAAACAACTTTAATTGGTCAAAAGCAAACAAAGTGTTGTTTCTACAGTGTGTGTAAAACCCTTGAGAGTACTGATAATAATTGGTAATTCAAGTTTTTTATTTTGTAGGAAGAAGACTAATTATTCATATTAAGGAAGTACATAGTCTTGCTTTGTCTTCAAATCTAAAAATGGTGGTACTGGTCTTAAGTGGCTGTTGTTGTTGGATTGGCATCTGTTGAAAGTAATATATATTTTGGCAAAATAACAGCCAAAGTATTATATATATTACAACACAACACAGAGAATAATATTCCATAGTACTATGTGTTGCACCCTTCACTGAATATAAATCTAGATGTGAATCTCAGCCTTGCTTGCAATTCTTCACACTGACGTGTTGTAGTTGATGAGTAATGCTGCTGAAATGACACCACAGTGATGTGTTGCTGTGGCAAAGCAAAAGCATTTCTCTCTCTTGCAAAACATGATGCAGTAATTAGAAAAGCCTGCTGTTACCCGATGCCAGCAGATCGTTGACCAGAACGAGGAACTTCTCGTCTGCCACTTGGGCGTCAGTCATCAGGAGCACGGTGCCAATATTCTTCACGCCAGCTTTGATGTAGAGGGAGGCCAGGTCACTCTGGGTGACAGGGAGAGAGGGAGAGATGTGGAGTGGGAGAGTGACACGCCTAAAG